CCTTGTCCCTCCCCCTCGCAGCCTCATCCTCCATCGCCCTCACGTCCAGGAATCTACTGAAAGCCGACGAAGGAAAGTCGTAAAATATATATATATATATACCAGCAGTGATGCAGCAGAGACAGCGCCGTTGGTGCCGCATCATGTCGTTCCGATGACGCGAGGGCCCCGGGGTTGAGTGACGGTGTCAGGACGTCCTAAAAGCACGCGCCGGCGCCCCCTGCAGGTCTATAACCTCGCGACAATACTGCAGACGCGCCCTTCCTCCTTCTACGGCCTCGGAGTATCCGTCTCCTCGCCCCCCTCCCCCCCTCGCCGCCCCTCACCCTGCGCCCGCCCCTTCACCACCCCCCACCTCCCCTCGCCCCCTCGCCCCGGTCGGTAAAAGATGGCGGGTAGATGGCGCTGAGTGACGCGCAAATCCAGATACTGCGGAGGGTCTGTGTCCGTCGACGATGCTCGTGGGCGCCGCTTTTTTGGACCGGTGGGGCTTGCGGGGGCGGCTTGCGGAGGCCGTGGCGTGCGGGCGTTCAGGGCATTAATTTTCAACACAGGAAAGGATGCGTGGAATGGTCCTGCAGCTCTGTCTGTTTGTCCTGTTGTCTGTCCCTGTCCTGTCTTTCCTCTTTCTCTCTCTCTCTCGTCCCTCTTCCTCTCTCTCTCTCTCTTCTCTATCTATCTATCTGCTCTCTTCTTCTCACTCTCTCTGTCTCTGTCTCTGTCTCTCCTCATCTCTCTCTCTCTCTCTCTCTCCAAGCTCTCTCTCTCTCTTCTCTGCTCGTCTCTCTCGCTCCTCATCTCAATCTCTCTCCTCCCCCTCCCACTCCTTGCCGCTCGTCTCCCTCCTCTCTCCTCTCTCTCTCCTGGCTCTCCCTCCCTAGCCTCCTCCGCTCCGCTCCCTCCTCTTTTCTTCTTTCTGCTCCCTCATACCCTCACTCGCTATGTCCTTCCTCGTTGAAGTTGTCCCAGGAAGAAATGGTCTGTGAATACTAGCGACACTGAACCTCGAATATATATAGATTCATAATAACAGTCTTAACGTGCTGTCACACATAGCACTTTTTCCGTGGCAATTTTTTGAGCAATTCTAATTTAATATAAGATACAAAAGATTCGTCAATATTAGCTCTTAGGATTTGACTGTATTGGCTGAAGACGTTGAGCGGAATAAGGTTATCAGTATCGGAAACGATCATTATCGTCTGAGCTGAAAATCGGTGACAATTTCGCTCCAAAATGAATAAATGAAAATAAGTGATAGTGTGACAGCACCTGTAAGGTGCTATCACACTATCACTTGTTCTAAGTTATTTTTTTTGCGTTTCAAGATGAACTTTCAGCGTGTGAAAATCGACTGGGAGGGCGTTCCGTTTGCAAAACCGATGACTTGGCGGAGAGCTCTCAAATTCAGGACGAAACGCAAAATTGACGGAAAAAGTGATAGTTGTGATAGGGCCTTTTAAAGTTGCTGTACACTAAGCACATCTTCCGCAATATTTTTTTAAGCAATTTTTACTGAAATATGTGTCCCAATGTTTAAAGCGATTTTGGTCGATTTTCCGGTCAGACGATAATGATCGTTTCCGTCTGAAAACCTATCCGTCACTTTTTCAGCCAAGCATAATCAAATCAAGAGTTATATTCGAGAATGTCTGTATTTCTAAAGTCTTTCTCAAGGACTAACATCACATCAAGTTTAATTCCTCTATGCACTAATCATGCCAAGATTTAATCCCTTTATCCTGCCCCGGATCCCTGACGCTTACCGTATTCTCCTCCTCTCCTCCTTGGACACGAAGGGAGACAAGTGTCCCAAGAGGGGGATGAAGGGGATAATGGAAGGAATAGGGGGGGGGGGGGTAGTAGAGACGAAGAGGGGGAGGGGGGGGGCGTGTGACTTTAATGGCTGCGTGACAGTTGACAGCCTAAACACCTAATGACCCTATTAACAAAGCTAATTAGTGTTGTCGAATTAGCGGATGTTAGAGAAGGCCGGTGAAGACCTTAGATAATTATGGTTTAATGGCAGCATAGGAGTTATGTCCTATATATATGTACGTGGCTCTTAAGGCTTTGCATATGTGAATATTGCAAAGGCGCTCGAGTGTGCTGTTGACAGACATGCGTTATTAGTATATAGTGTGAATGTGTGTGTGTGAGAGAGAGAGAGAGAGAGAGAGAGAGAGAGAGAAGAGAGAGAGAGAATGAGATAGAGAGAGAGAGAGAGATTTAGATTGGAGTTTAGTTTAATTCCATTTGTTACAATGGGATTATTCTTTGCTTTGACATACTTGTCTGTTTTACGAGAGAGAGAGAGAGAGAGAGAGAGAGAGAGGAGGAGAGAGAGAGAGAGAGTGAGTGAGAGAGAGAGAGAGAGTGTGTGTGTGTGAGAGAGAAGAGAGTGTGTGTGTGTATGTGTATCTGTGTCTGTATGTGTGTGTCTATGTAAGTATGAGTTTTTATTCGCAGATATTCATGTATTCATATATATGGACATACATAGGTTTATGTGCATTTGTATATATACATCATTTGGTTGGATAAATGGATGAATGGATAGAGAATGGATTAGTGGATTAAAGAATGGATAGATGGATGTCATGGATATATATGTCTGTGTATACAGTTTCTATGCTTCTATAAATTGTATGCATATGTCATTAGCATACAGCATGAATATGTGTGTGTGTGTGTGTATCTGTATGTGGATGTGTGTGCGTGAATGTGGATGTAATCATATTATGTAAACAAACTGATATATATTCATACATTTCATTATAAAAATTGAATCTCAGTGACAAAAACACATATCCACTTTCATAACCCTTTAGTGATTTACGTACAAAGAGAAATTACAAAGCATGAGCATAAATACAGGTATGCAAATTACAGGTGGATTATGCAGGATATTCGCTTGTTGTTATTTGCTGTTTGTCTTTCTTATCTATCAATCTCTTTTTTTTATCTTGCATGTTGATTGTGAGTTGCAAGAAGTGGAGCTCAATCTGTCGCGATTTTAGAAATCTATTTGATTGGGCGATTTCGAAGGATTTGCCCGCGATTTGTATTCATGAGGATTACACAAAGATATCAAATTCAAGGATTATGCCATAGACGAATGGAGAAAACGTACATATTTTGATAAACAAGGAATGCTATCGAACATATGATAATGTATCACATAATACGATTATACGTATACTTGATATGTATCATATTTACAACACTCAGAAATCGGTGAAATCGAGATAATAAGCAGATACAGTCAAGCAGGAGCAGAGAGAAGAGTAATCCTTGGCAAGCAGACCAAGCAGACACAGTCAAGCAGAAGCAGTAAGCTGAGTAATCATTAGCAGGCAAAACGAGCAGACACAGCCAAGCAGGAGCAGTGTGTAGAGTAATCTTTGGCAAGCAGACCAAGCAGACACAGCCAAGCAGAAAGCAGATCAATCCTTAGCAAGCAGACCAAGCAGACACAGCCAAGCAGGAGCAGAAGACAGAAGATACCACAACAAGCAAATCCTTACCAAGCAGACACAAGCAGATACCACAAGCAGAGTAATCCTTACCAGCAGCAAGGCAGTTGATACCACAAGCAGAGTAATCCTTACCAAGCAGACACAAGCAGTTGATATCACAAGCAGAGTAAATCCTTACCAAGCAGACACAAGCAGCAGAGAGAAGCAGGGACTCTGGGGGGGGGGGGGTTAGAGAGGGCTCAGCAAACAGCGCTATCCCTCATCAGCTGATTGACTGACACGGTTGACTGAGTGACTGAGTGACTGACTGTGCGGTTCCTATTGCTGTTGCCTCCTCTTGGTCTTCTTTATTTTGCTTGTTCTTTGATTTTTTTTTTTTTTTTCTACTTCGTCTTCTTCATTTTTTTCCTTATTGTTCTTCGTCTTCTTTATTTCTTTCTTTTTTATTATTTTTTTGTGTATTTCTTCTTTTGTCCTTTTTGTATTTTTTTCTTTTTCTTTTTTCTTCTTTTTTTCTTTCTTTCTTCTTTTTCTTCCTCTTCTTCGTTTTTCTTCTTTTCTTTCTCTTCGTCTTCGTCTTCCTTTTTTTACCAAAGGTTCTTTTTGATAATCTATCGTACCCATTTTTCTCCTTTATTTCTTCGTTCTCGGTTTCCATTTTATCTTCCTCTTTCACTTCCTCTTCTTCTCTATTCTCCTCCTCTTTCACTTGCTTTTCCTCTTCTTCTCTCTTATTCCTCCTCTTCTTTCACCTACCCTTGTTCCTCTTCTCATTCTCATTCTCTTCTTCATCTGCTCTTTTCCTCTCTCTCCCATTCTCTTTGTGTTCCACCTTTGCCTTTTCCTCTTCTTCGCTTTCTCTTCTTCTTCCTCTTTCTCCTTCTTTCCTTTCCAATTCTTTTTTTTCTTCTCAATTACCCTTTTGTTCTTTTTTCCTTTTCCTCCTCATTTCTTCTTACTCATCCTTTTCATCTTCTTTTCCATTTCTTACCCTTCTTTTCTTTCCCTTTCTCCTCCTCCATTTTTATTTACGTTTCGTATATCTTGATTGTTTTATCGTTTTATCACGTTTGGTTAATTATAAAGATTCACTGGATTTTTTTTCAGAAAATAATGGACAGTATTTCATTTAATAATCTTTTAATAGATATATACATGTATATATGTGTGGTTTGTGTGTGTGTGTGTGTGTGTGTGTGTGTTTGTGTGTGTTGTGTGGTGTGTTGGTGCGTGCGTGTTGTGTGTGTGTGTGTGTGTGTGTGTGTGTGTGTGTGTGTGTGTGTGTGTGTGTGTGTGTGTGTGTGTGTGTGTGTGTGTGTGTGTGTGTGTGTGTGTGTGTGGCTATGTGTGTGTATGTGTGTGTGTGTTTCCAGAAATCTAGATCGATGATGTTTTAAAAAGCCTGAAAAAAGTCAAAATTTCCATTGCTTTTCACATCTGACCTTTGGCTTTTAAATATAAACACAATTATAGTTGATGGACTGAAATTCCTTTTTTTTTTAGTTAATGTCTATCTTCATTCTAGAACTGGATAATGGAGAAGCTTATTAAATCAAATAGATATATTTGTAATTCAAAATTAATATTACTTATAGAGAGAGAGAGAGAGAGAGAGAGAGAGAGAGAGAGAGAGAGAGAGAGAGAGAGAGAGAGAGAGAGAGAGAGAGAGAGAGAGAGAGGAGAGAGAGGGAGAGAGAGCACAGAAGGAGAGAGAGAGGGAGGAGAAGATGAGAAGAGAGAGAGAGAGAGAAGGGAAGGAGAAGAGAGAAAGGGAAGGTAACAGAGAATCAACGACGACAAACATAGAGACAGAGAGTAATGAAAAAAAGATAAGAGAAACAGCCACAAATTCAAAATCAAATATTATGCATTGGCACACAACACATTATATCTATCTAGATGTAATCTATTATTATCTATCTATCTATGTATCTATCAGTCTGTTTATTTATGCTTTACCAACCTATCCATCATCGTTAAAATAATATATCGATAAAATGAATGATAGACATACAGACGTAGATAGTCAGATGAAGATAGAGATGAACAGATAGAGAGATATAAAGGTAGATAAATAGTTAGGTAAATGGATAGATATAATGGGTTATATTATAACGTAGATATTGAAAACATTAACAGAATCGAAAAAGTAATGAATAACTTATGTAATATATTTTTTTACACGAGACGTGATTTTAGAATAAGAAAGAAAGATTTAAATTAATAACAAGAGAGAGAGAGGGAGAGGAAGGAGAGAATGTGAGAGAAGAGAGAGAGAGAGAGAGAGAGAGAGAAGAGAAAGAGAGAGAGAGAGAGAGAGGGAGAGAGAGAGAGAGAGAGAGACAGCGGAGAGGAGAGAGAGAGATGGAGAGAGAGAAGAGAACACCGACAGACAAACAGAAGACAGACAGAGACAGAGACGAGACAGAGAGAGAGAAAAAGATAAAATCTCGTGAGAAAAATAGCAGTGAAGAGATCGTGATTAAGAAGACAGACGTTAAATAATTTACAAGATCTGACAGGAATACGATCATTGAAAAAGCATGTTGGGGAAATTAAGACAGAAACATGCGGGTATCTCAAAAAAAAATCTCTTAATCGAGTTAAATGTAACGTGTTCTCAATTTTTTTCCCTCTTTTTCCGAATATTTAAATTGCTTTCAAAATCATAACCACAAATAATATTTAAAAAATATCCATCAACCGCTTTATCGAAGTATCATGAGAAATTCTTACTAAGACAGTAAAAAAGGACAGAATATATATCCCCCCATCTCTCATGACCTATATCTCTCTGACAACCTGAAGCCGTAAGGGTCACGATCACCCAATCAAACATAGGAAACTGACTCTTAATAGCAGAAATATCGTGGGAGGTTATCACTATTCAAGAAAATGCTCTACAGATTTCATTCAATGCCATTCATTAGCTAGCAAATCTACCTTGTGGGTATTCAACGTATAAATCAATTCATATACATTTATACAAGAGTAAGTGAGTGGACATTCAACTTTCTATATTCATATGATTGAAATATAGAAAGAGAAAGAGTGAGAGAGGGAGAGAGAGAGAGAGAAGAGAGGAGGAGGAGAGAGAGAAAGGGAGGGAGGGAGTAGAGACAAGAGAGAGAGAGAGAGGGAGGAAGAAGAAAGGAGAGAGATAGAGAAAAAGAGATAGAGGAGAGAGAGAGAGAGAGAGAAGAGAGGGAGGGGAGAGAGAGAAGAGAGAGAGAGAGAGAGAGAGAGAGAGGAGAGAAGAGAGAGAGAGAGAAGAGAGAGAGAGAGAGAGAGAGAGAGAGAGGGAGAGGGAGAAAGAGAGAGAGAGAGAGAGAGAGAGAGAGAGAGAGAGAGAGAGAGAGAGAGAGAGAGAGAGGGAGAAGGAGAGAGAGAGAAGAGAAAGAGGGGGGAAGAGGGAGGGAGGGGAGGGGAGAGAGAGAAGAGAGAGAGAGAGAGAGTGCAGATCGCTTTCTATATTTCATATAAGTATTTTATGGTAGTTGTGCCACTTCTAAATCAATCTCGAAATTTATCGGGATATCAGAATGTAACATTAATTAATTAAGTGACATGACTTGTTTTCATATAGAGTTCAAGGTCTTGCTTCGAAGTTGTTATTGACTCTGGTGTTGTTTTGTGTGTTTGTATGTGTGCGTGTGTGTGTGTGTGTGTGTCTGTGTGTGTGTGTGTGTGTGTGTGTGTGTGTGTGTGTGTGTGTGTGTGTGTGTTGTTCGTATGCATATGCGTCTGTTTATCATGTAAATGCATATATCAAAGAATTCATAAAGTCCCTTTGAATAACATTTTGAAATAATTTTCGCCATAATGTATTCCTTAAGCGAATTACAATTTGCATATAAATTTGGAGTGTTTGAAAGTGAATTAGAACAGAAGGATTTAAATAAGTACATTAGGTTTCTAGTCTGCTACAAAAAAAAATGGAGAATTTCGAAAGGGAAAAAAATGTTCTCTGATGAATAAAGTATTTTCAATTCAATTTTAAAAGAGAACCGGATATCACCTACTATTGGTTGTTTCTTAAAGATAATTATCATGATGATAGTAAAAATAAATGCATAAATGAATGAATAGGTATTGATAATAATAGTAAGAAGAACAATGATAATAGTAATAGTAGTAATTATAATAGTAATAATGATAATGAAATAATGAAAATGATAATAGTAATGGATAAGTATATAATCAATAGATATGCAAATAAGATCAAACAAACAAACAAATAAGTAAACACAACACCCCCTAAAAAAAAAAAAAAAAAAAAAAAAAAACAGCAACAAACATATATTTCAAACAAATAAACAAATAAATAAAACACAGCGACACGCACACACCACCAACCCACAACACAAAAAAAATACGGCCCATACAAAAAAAAAAAAAAAATAAATAAAAAAAAAGGATAGCAACAAAAAAATATTTATATAAAAACGCAACCCATCCATCACAATTATACAGAAAAAAAAAAAAAACGTTTTCCCTTTCCGCAAAAACAGCGATCCAAGGCATCCCTATGCGCCGTGTATGTACCTCTGACATCAAGACATCAATCACACTTACCTGTCACGAAGAGAAAAACGTTTCATAAGTCGGACTTCTACGTTATCTATGTAAACAAGGCGGTACTATCTTGTGTATTGGGGGGGGGGGGATACGATCCACTCGCTGAGGTATGGATAGAAGTGGATAGGTTTTGTGGATGAATGGATGGTTGGAGTGAAAGGAATAGGTGGGAGACAGAGAGCGATAAATTGCTGTGTTCGTATCAGTGAGGGAGACACAGAAAGATAGAAATAAAGAGAAAAAATCGTACTTATATATAATTCATATACAAATGTGTTTACATATACTATATATAATATATATATATAATATATATATATATATATATATTAATATATATATATATATATATATATATATATATACACGTACATACGAACATAAATCCTTACATCCATACAAAAAAATATACACATCATACATACATACAGGCAGACTGACAGACAAACACATAAATACACACATGAATAAATACAGACTGCACTATACTGTCCATATAAACACACGCATAATACACAGATACACACACAAAAATAGATTATATGAATATATAAACACATACCAACTCACGCATGCATACAACACTCAACAACAGATCATAACTGTTCCACAAGCTCCATAACTCCCTTACCCTACCCCCTCCCTCAATCCCCCTACCCTACCCCCTCCCTTAACCCTCCTTCTCTCCCCTGCGGCCCTTTATAACGATCTCCCTCTTAAAAAGGACACACTAACATCTCCTGATTTTATGAGTATGAGTTGGCTCTTTGCGAGAAGAAGGCAGACGGGTAGACGAACATATAAACACACTCTGTGATATTACTAGGGTAGGGAGAGGGAGGGAGAGGGAGAGGGGAAGGGGGATAGGAGAGGGAGGGAGAAGGGGGAGGGAGGGAAAGGGAGAGGGAAGGGGAAGAGAAAGGGAAGGGAAGGGAGAGGGGAAGGGGAAGGAAGGAAGGAGAGGGAATGGGAGAAGGGGGAGGGAGGAAGGAGAGAAGGAGAAGGAGAGGGAATGGGGAAGGGAGAGGGAGGGCTAGGAGAGGGAATGAGAAGAAGGGGGAGGGAGGGGAAGGGAGAAGGGAGGGATAGGAGAGGGGAAGGAAAAGGAGAGGGGATGGAGAAGGGAGAGGGAAGGGCAGGGAGAAGGAGAGGAAATGGGGAAGGGAGGGCAGGGAGAGGGGAGAGGGGAAATAAAAGGAGAAGGGAAGGGAGAAAGAGATAAGATGAGAGGGTAGGGAAAGAGGGTCAGAGAGAGAGAGGGGGGAGGGGAAGGGAGGCTGGGAGAGGAGAGGGATGGGAGGAGATGGACAGGGAGAAGGAAGGGTAAAAAGAGGGGAGAAGCGAGAAATGACAGAAAAAGTAATATATGGGAGAAGTAACACAGAGACGCATTGGATGACAGCTGTGACATACAGTCGGCTTACGAGAGAGAGAGAGAGCTAGATAGAAATGGAGAAGGAAAGGGAAAAGAGGAGAGAGAGAGAGCTAGACAGAGAGAGAGAGAAGGGAGAGGAGAGAGAGAGAGAAGAGAAGAGAGAGAGAGAGAGAGAGAGAGAGAGAGAGGAGAGAGAGAGAGAGAGAGAGAGAGAGAGAGAGAGAGAGAGAGAGAGAGGAGAGAGAGAGAAAGAGAGAGAGAGAGGGAAGGGAGGGAAGAGAGAGAGAGAAGAGAGAGAGAGAGAGAGATCGAACATAAAAAAAACATAGCGAAAGAGAGAGAGAGATCAAAATAAAAAAGGCATAGCAAAAGAAACATACAGACAGGCAGACAGACAAAGTGAGTATGTATTGTGTGTATGCACGTGAGAGAGAGTGAGAGAGAGAGAGAGAGAGAGAGAGAGAGAGAGAGAGAGAGAGAGAGAGAGAGAGAGAGAGAGAGAGAGAGAGAGAGAGAGAGAGAGAGAAGAGAGAGAGAGAGAGAGTGTGATGTGTGTGTGTGTGTGTGTGTGTGTGTGTGTGTGTGTGTGTGTGTGTGTGGTGTGTGTGCGTGTGTGTGTGTGTGTGTGTGTGTGTGTGTGTGTTGTGGTGTTGTGTGTGTTGTGTGTGTGTGTGGTGTGTGGTGCGTGTGTGGTGGGTGTGTGTGTGTGCGTGTGTGTGTGTGCGTGTTTTCTTCATATTCACTTACCCAAGAACAAATACAAACCTCATTTAGTATCAAATACTCTTCTGTCGTGTTTATTTTCATAGACGTAAAAAAAACAAGGATAAAAACAAGCATAAACCGCAATAAACTTAATATCAAAGAGAAAAAAAGAAGAAAAACAGTCGGCTTCATCAAAACACAACCAAAACCCCGTTATAAAAACAACCAAAACAAGTTGTAGAATTCCAATATCCCTTCCTTTTTAAACTCTCCCCCTACCCCCCCTATTCCCCTAACCCCTACTCCCCTACCCCTACTCCCCTACCCCCTACCCCCCCCTACCCCTAAGACCCACCCCACCCACACCCCATTCGAGACCCCCCTCCCTCCCCCCACCCAGGCCCCAATTGCAGACCCCACTCCCTCCCCCACCCAGCCACCAGATGGAGACCCCCCTCCCTCCCTCCCCCCACCCATCCCCCAATTGGAGACTCCCCCCTCCCTCCCCCCCACCCACCACACCTCCCCGTAGAAACCCCCAAGCTGCTCATATTTTGGCGTCGGCCTCGAGGGAAAATATTTGGCCAGAGAAGACGAAAGTGGGGAGAGGGAAAGAGGGGAAGAGGGGAAGAAAGGGGAATAGGGGAAAGGGGTTGGGGATGTTGGTGAGGAAGAAAATGGGGAAGGAGGGGAAGAAAGGGGGGAATAGGGAAAGGGGTTGAAGGATGTGCGAGAGGAAGGGGTGGGGAAAATGGGGAAGAAGCAAGGACGAGAAGAGAGTGGGGATGGGAGGAGTGAAGAGAAGAGGAGAGGATGGGGGGGATAGGGTGAAAAGTTGGGGAGGAACGTAGTTTGGGGGAAAGAGGTTAATGATTGGGAGAGGAGAGGGTGGTGGGGAATGGGGAGAAGCGAGGAAGAGACGAAAGTGGGGATGGGGAGGGGGGGAGAAGATGGGGAGGCGAGGGTGTTGGGAACGAGAGAAAAAATGGGGATAGGGGGAGGGAATCAAACCAAAAATGGGGAGAAATAAAGAGTGGGGAATGAGGTGAATTTTTGGAAAGAAAGAGAAATGGAGAGATAGAAAAGAAAAATAAGAGAGAAAAAACAGGACGAATGAATCGAAAAAAACAAAAAAAAAAAAATACTACGAGACAGACAAGAGACGAACGAGAAACGAGAAAAGGGGAATAAAGTGACGAATGAGGAGAGGAGAGAGCAGAATGAGGAATGAGGCAATGGCCGAGGAGACGAGATGAGGACACGGGAGAAGAGAATCATATTGAAGCGTCACTGATTGCGTAACAGACTCGGCAAACACACTTTGTAATATTACCCGGGGAACGGAAGCGAGGAGGGTGGTGATGTGGGATGAGTGGTTGGTGGTGATGGTGGCTGGCAGGAGTGGTGATGTGTGTGGTGACGGTGTGAGGAGTGGTGATGTGGTGATGAGTGGTGGTGATGGTGTGGCAGGAGTGGGTGAGAGTGGGTGGCAGTGGGAGTGGTGATGTTGGTGATGAGTGGTGGTGCTGGTGCTGGCGGAGTGGTGATGTGGGAACGGAAGCTGGAGGAGTGGTGATGGGTGGTGGTGGTGACTGGCAGGAAGTGGTGAGTGGTGATGAGTGGTGGTGATGGTGCTGGCAGGAGTGGGTGATGTGGTGATGGTTGGGTGGTGATGGTGGGCAAGGATGTGAGTTGGTTGGGGTGATGGGTGCTGGCAGGAGGGTGATGTGTGGATGATGGTGCTGGGCAGGAGTGGTGATGTGGTGTGGTGATGGTGCTGGCCAGGAGTGGTGGTGGTTAATGGTGCTGGCTGAGTGGTGATGGTGGTGGTGGATGGTGCTGGTGGCAGGAGTGGTGATGTGGTGGTGGTGGTGCTGCAGGAGTGGTGATGTGGTGGTGGTGAGGGGGCTGGCAGAGTGGTGATGTGGTGGGTGATGGTGCTGGCAGGAGTGGTGATGTGTGATTGGTGCTGGCAGGAGTGGTGATGTGGTGGGTGTGATGGGCAAGGAGTGGTGATGTGGTGGTGGTGAATGGTTGCTGGCAGGAGTGGTGACGCTGGGAACGGAAGTGAGGAGTGGTGGTGGTGGTGATGGTGCTGGCAGGAGTGGTGATGTGGTGGTGGTGATGGTGCTGGCAGGAGTGGTGACGCTGGGAACGGAAGTGAGGAGTGGTGATGTGGTGGTGGTGATGGTGCTGGCATGAGTGTGACGCTGGGAACGGGAGTGAGGAGTGGTGAGATGGTGCTGGTGAGGAGTTGGTGATGTGGTGGTGGTGATGGTGCTGGCGGGAGTGGTGACGCTGGGAACGGGAGTGAGGAGTGGTGGAGGAGTGGTGGTGGTGGTGTGGTGCTGGCGGGAGTGGTGACGGCGGATGTGGTGATGGGTGGTGGTGCTGGCAGGAAGTGGTGACGCCGCTGGGAACGGAAGTGAGGAGTGTGATGTGGTGATGAGTGGTGGTGGCAGAGTGGTGACGCTGGGCGGGAAGTGAGGAATGGGTGAGGAGTGGTGATGTGGTGGTGGTGATGGTGCTGGCAGGAGTGGTGACGCTGGGAACGGAAGTGAGGAGTGGTGATGTGGTGGTGGTGATGGTGCTGGCAGGAGTGGTGACGCCTGGAAGTGAGGATGGTGAAGTGAGGAGTGGTGATGTGGTGGGTGATGGTGCTGGCAGGAGTGGTGACGCTGGGAACGGAAGTGAGGAGTGGTGATTGGTGGATTGATGGTGGTGATGGTGCTGGCAGGAGTGGTGACGCTGGGAAACGGAAGTGAGGAGTGGTGATGTGGTGGGTGGTGATGTGCTGGCAGGAGTGGTGGAGCTGGGAACGGAAGAGGAGTGGTGATGAAGTGAGGAGTGTGATGAGTGGTGGTGGTGATGGTGCTGGCAGGAGTGGTGACGCTGGGAATGTGGAAGATGTGAGGAGTGGTGATGTGGTGGTGGTGATGGTGGCTGGGGAGTGGTGACGCTGGACGGAAGTGAGGAGTGGTGGATGTGGTGGTGGTGAGCGGGAGTGGTGACGCTGGGAACGGAAGTGGAGGAGTGGTGAATGGGTGGGTGGTGGTGATGGTGCTGGCGGGAGTGGTGACGCTGGGAACGGAAGTGAGGAGTGGTGAGTGGTGGTGGTGTGGTGCTGGCAGGAGTGGTGACGCTGAGGAATGGTGGAGTAGTGGTGATGTGGTGGTGGTGATGTGGTGCTGGCAGGAGTGGTGACGCTGGGAACGGAAGTGAGGAGTGGTGATGTGGTGGTGGTGATGGTGCTGGCAGGAGTGGTGACGCTGGGAACGGGAGTGAGAAGGATGTCAAGTGAGGAGTGGTGATGTGGTTGGTGGTGATGGTGCGGCGGGAGTGGTGACGCTGGGAACGGAAGTGAGGAGTGGTGATGTGGTGAGGAGTGGTGATGTGGTGGTGGTGATGGTGCTGGCAGGAGTGGTGACGCTGAGGAATGGTGAAGTGAGGAGTGGTGATGTGGTGGTGGTGATGGTGCTGGCGGGAGTGGTGACGCTGGGAATGGAAGTGAGGAATGGTGTCAAGTGAGGAGTGGTGATGTGGTGGTGGTGATGGTACTGGCAGGAGTGGTGACGCTGGGGAATGGAAGTGAGGAGTGAGTGGTGATGTGGTGTGGTGATGGTGCTGGCGGAGTGGTGACGCTGGGAACGGAGTGAGGTGGTGATGTCAAGTGAGGAGTGGTGATGTGGTGGTGGTGATGGTGGTGGCAGGAGTGGTGACGCTGGGAACGGAAGTGAGGAGTGGTGATGAGTGGTGGTGATGGTGCTGGCAGGAGTGGTGACGCTGGGAACGGGAGTGGTTAAAGCAGTAGTAGCGGTGGTGGTGGTGGCAGTGTGGTACTAGTTGTTATGGCAGTAGTTGTAGGAGTAGTAGTAGTAGCAGTAGTTGTAGTTGTTGTAAAAGTAGTAGCAGTAGTAGCTGTTGTTGTTGTAGAAGTAGTAGTAGTGGTAGTTCTTGTTGTAGAAGTAGTAGTAGTAGAAGTAGTGATGTTGTTGTTGTGAAGTAGTAGTAGTGGTAGTTCTTGTTGTAGAAGTAGTAGTAGTGGTAGTTCTTGTTGTAGAAGTAGTAGTAGTAGTAGTTGATAGTTGTTGTTGTAGAAGTAGTAGTAGTGGTAGTTCTTGTTGTAGAAGTAGTAGTAGTAGAAGTAGTGATAGTTGTTGTTGTAGAAGTAGTAGTAGTGGTAGTTCTTGTTGTAGAAGTAGTAGTAGTAGAAGTAGTGAGAGTAGAGTAGTAGTGTGGTAGTGTTGTAGAAGTAGTAGTAGTAGTAATAGTTGTTAGTAGTAGTTGTAGAAGTAGTTGTAGCAGTAGTAAAAGTTGTTGTTATAGAAGCAGTAGTATTAGTAGCAGTAGTAATAGTAGTAGTAGTAGCAATTGAAGAAGTAATAGTAGTGGTAACAGAAGCAGTAGTAGTGGTAATAAAGAAAAGAGTTTCGACACCGCCAACGTCAAACAAACCCAGCGCCCGCCGATGACATAGAAAAAAAAGAAAAAGAAAAAACTGTTTAATTGTGAAGCCAGAGTGCAACAAGCGTGTCTCATAGTTAGTTGCTGACAGCGAAGTAGACATAGCAACCGGTTGGCAGTGCACCTGGGAGCTGTCATAGGCATCTCAGACTACACAGCTAAGATAGCAATAAAAGAAGGAGAAGGAGAAAAAGAAGAAGAAAAAGGAAAATAAGAAGAAAGAGAAGGACAAGAGGAGGAGGAGGAGAAGAGAAAGAAGAAGAAGAAGAAGAAGAAGAAAAGAAGAAGAAGGAGAAGGAGAGGAAGAAGGAAAGAAGAAGAAGGAGAAGAAGAAAAGAAGAAGGAGAAGAAAAGATCTTCGATAATTGAGCCTCGTGCACAGATTCAAACGCCGGTGAACCTTCTTCATGACACCAATCCCTGGTATTATCCGGTTGTGTCACGGTCTGAGAAAGCCAAAGGGGACATCCTCATTCTACTCCCTCGAAACGTCGCCACTAAAGAGACAGAGAAACATCATGTGATTATTATTTAAGAGGGCTGGGCACGTTTGAGAGGAGTGGGCAAACTAGAGCAAGGGGTATGGGGAAACTAGCTCAGGGACATTATCAACAGTGGAAGCAGCAGTAGTAGTTGTAGTGGTAGTGGTAGTATAGTAGTAGTAGCATTAGTAGTAGTTGTTATTGTTGTTGTTGCTGAAGAAGTAATTGTAATAGTAGTGGTAGCAGAAGCAGTAGTAGTACTATTAACAGTAACAATAGTAGTAGTAGTAGTTGTAACAGTTTTTACGACATATTGTCCGCCAGAATGCTACGTGTAAAAGTGAATCTAGTGAAAAGCAGGGAACCATCACCAGCAACAGGTAAGACAAGATGATAATTGAAAGGTTCTAAACTTCATCAACCTCAGAAAATACGACAGGTGCCCACGTCTATATTTTCCGTAGATTTTCTTTTCTGTACATTTTCATTGACTGTCATCTTGCGTCTAACGTCTAATGTGTTTTCTATGACTGCGTTAATGTGACTCACATTCCAGAAATTCTATCTGTATTCATAATACAAAATGCTTTCTCAATTTACCATGCATGATAGGCCAGGAAACAATTGAAAAATAGCATATAATACACCCATATTAAACCCCTTAGTTTCTATAGCACAGAATACACCCATATTAATATCCTCAGTTTCTATTCTGCATAATAATTTCCTTGACTCAAAATTCGCAGTTGCGTTAAAAAAGGTAAATTTCACAGCCTTTTGAATGTGTCGATTTGTTATTGTCATTTGTTTCCCGAAATATCAGACGAAACTCCTACAAGAGTCGAACAGGAAACAAAACCATACAACAAGCTAACAACCCTAATGATGAACAGAATATAAAACCACCAGTCTTAACAAGCAGCGATTCATAGATGCTAAAACCCTTTGCTGTGGTTTTAGCCAGTGGAAGATTTCGCAAGCTTCCTCTCACGTCGACCAAGCAAAGAGAAAAGAAATCCTTTTGGTTTCTGCTCGAACACGATGTAATTCGAGATTCTCCAAGATATTTGTCACGGCGACAAAGGGAATCCAACTCTATTGATAATGGATGTCGACAGCTTCGCCTATCAATGGTCTTTATCCATTTACATGTTTATCTATCTATTCATTTATCTATCTGTCTGTCTGTCTGTCTACCTACCTACTTACCTACTAACCTATCTAGCTATCTATCCATCCATCCATCCATATATCTGTCCACCTACGTATCTATCTGTCTATCTATATATCTACCTACCTATTCATCTATCCATCCATCCATTTATCTATCCATCTATATGTCTACCTACCTATATTCTATACCTACCTACCTATCTATCTATCTACCCATTCATCTACAAAATTAGTTGTTAGATTCTGGACGCGTCGACAGGGAAGGGACAAAAAAAACATGATAATTGACGTTCTTTTCGGAGATGCATTAACATGGAGACAAAGAGGGTTGTAATTATATTAACAGATGGCGGCGATAAAGTAGCAATATTGGCAGTGTTACCAGTTGTTGTACTAGTGGTAGTAGTGATGGAAGTTGTACTAGCAGTAGTAATAGTAGTAGTTATCGTGGTGATGGAAGTAATAGTAGTAGTAGTAGTGATGGAAGTAATAGTAGCAGTTGTAGTGGTAGTAGCAGTGATGATGGAAGTAAAAGAAGTGGTAGTAGTAGTAGTGATGGAAGTAATAGTAGTAGTAGTAGTAGTGAAAGTGATAGTAGTAGCAATAGTAACAATAATAGGGTTGTAGTAACAGTAGTAGTAGTAGTAGAAAAGTAGTAATAGCGGGGTTGGTGTTCGTAGTAATAGTATTAATAGTAATAATAGTGACAGAAATACTAGTAAGAGTTGTACTAGTGATATAGATCAAAAATGATAGTAGCAGAAATAGCAACTGTAACGATAGTCGTAGAAATGGAGTCAGCAGTAGCAGTAGTATAAATAGTAGTAGTAGTAATAGTAATAGTTGTAGTAGTAATAGTAGTAGTGGCTGAAGGAGAGGCACAGGTGGTAATATGGTGATAGAGCTATTACAAAGAGAGTTAAATGGATTAATTCATCTTTTGATCTCCGTGATATTTCATTAAGGTGCATTTTACGTCACTGCTCCAACTTTTGTTTTTGCTCTCGCTCTCTATCTCTCTCTCTCCTCTCATCTCTCTCTCTCTCTCTCTCTCTCTCTCTCTCTCTCTCTCTCTCTCTCTCTCTCTCTCGTCTTTCTCTCTCTCTTCGTCTCTCTCTCTCTTCTCTCGTCTCTCTCTCATCTCTCTCTCTCTCATCTCGTCCATCTCGTCATCTCGTTTCCCTTCCTTTCTCGTTCTCTTTACACCGTCTTCCTATCGACTCTTATCTATCCTACCTCTTTCTCTCACTCTTTCTCTCATTCCTCTCCCTCCTCTTCTTTCTTTCTCTTCAAATGCTTCCCACGGTCTCCCTCTCTCTCGTCTCCTTCTTCCTCCTCGCTCTTCGTTCCGCGCCCAATGTCCTTTGTCGTCTATTTGGCCTTTTCGCTCTCTCCTCTTGTATACGACAATTGCTTTTCTTGCCTCCTCTCTATCTCCCTCCGTCTCTCATCTCTACTTTCTCTCCAATCTCTCTCCATCTCTCTCTCGTCTCTCTCTTATCTATCTATCCTTATCTATTCGTATCTATCTATCATCTCTCCTCTGCTCCTGCTCTCTCTCTTATTAGACTCGCTGCTTTTCTCCTCTCTCATTCATCCTCTCGCTTCTCTTCTCTCCTTCTCCTCTCCCGTCTCCTCTCTTCTCTCGGCCCTCTCTTTTCTCCTCATCCCATCCGCCCATCCTCATCGCGTACCTCACTCCGTCGGCCTCTCCGCTCTCGTCGTCTCTCCTCTTCAATTATTACACTTCTGCTTTTCTCTCCTCTCCTCCGTCTCTCTCTCTCTCTTCTCGCTCTCTCCTCTCCTCTCCCGTCTCCGCTCTTACTCGCTATTCTAGGAATCTATCTAAGTCTATCTATCCTTCTATCGTCTATCTGCTATCTCCTATCTCTCTCTCTCTCTCTCTCTCTCTCTCTCTGTATCCCTCTGTCTCGTCGCTCCGTCTCTCTGTCTCCTCTCCTCTCCTCCTCTCTCTTTAAAAACACTTAATTGAATTTCAGTAAAATCATAATCAGGTAAAGTTTTTTTTTTTTTTTAAATACGACCACAGGGAAACAAAACAAAAAACGAAGTAAATGTTCAAAATCATATTCATTATCAAATTAATTTCCATAAAGAGTATATGACAGAAAAAGTGGGAGAAAGGATTTTTTTTCAGTGATCTCTCTCTCGCCTGTCGTCGTCTGCTCTCTCTCCTCCTCAGTCTCTCTCTCATCTCCTCACTTCTCTCTCTCTGCTCGCGATCTCTCTCTCTCTCCTCTCTCTTCCTCTCTCCTTCCTCAAAACACTTTTATTTCATTTCAGTTAATCAGTCAGTTTTTTTGAAAAAAAAGATACGACAGGGAAAAAAACAAAAAAACGAAGTAAATTTTCAAATCATATTCATTATCAATTATTTCCATAAAAAGTATATGACAGAAGAAGTGGCAGAAAAAAGGTTTTTTCAATTATCAGATTCACAACTGAAATATTTTAAAGGCGGAGAAGAAAATATTACTGAATTTAAAAGTCTGGGTGACGGACAGAAAAAAGAGAGAAAAGGGAGATAGTAAAAAATACATAGAATTAATAAAAAAAAGAAAAAAAAGGGTTAGAGAATAAAAACCGAGATAAAGAAAAAAACTGAGAAAACAGGGAGAGTAAAATATTTTTTTTTTTCAAATCAGGGGTACAGAGTAAAAATAAAAACATAGTACGAATAATGGCAATGAATACAGGGAGAACAGGCAGAATAACAATAAAAGATAACAATAAGAAGACACAAAAATAACAAAAAAGAAATAACAATAACAAAAATAATAGAAAACGGGAAGACAGACAAGCGAAAGAAAATGGTATGACGTAGAGTGCACTTTAGGGGGAAACTAAAGAAAACCTAGAAGACAGAGATGTGGTAAGACAAGAGCCCACAACCTAAGCCTAAGGAGGGGAAGAATGAAACACAATCACTTGGGGGAAACTTCTAGACGCAAGACGAGAGGAGAATGAAGGCTGTTAAGAAAGGAAAAGGGGGAAGTTGTAGTGTTCCTTTGGCTTCGTGTTCAATTAAAGTTGATATGAAGTGATACTGGGAGAAGGCAAGGTTTGTTCTGCCTTGTTTGTTTGTCCATTAACTCGCTCCGTAACAGGGTGGCGTTCTAGACTAACTGTCTTTGTGTCTGTTTCGAAATTACAGTTTATTACAGTTAGGGAAATTTGATATGAGCATGGCAGGCTGGCTTTAATGTGTTAGATGAGTGTTTATGAGTTGCTTTCACTTTATCATATGTTGGTCAGAGCACCTCGGGAGAGAGAGCCGGGAAAATGTGTAAAGAAAAAGCATATATTGGTAATACGCGTATATTTGCGTTTGTTTATATGTGTGTCTGTGTGTGCATGCTTGTATGAATGTATTTATATGTGCGTATATATGTATGTGTGTGTGTGTGTGTGTGCATGTATGTATTTGTGTGGTGTGTGTTGTGTGTGCATGTATGTGTGTGTGTGTAT